AGAAATTAGAATTTTGATACGGAATTATAAAAGAAATTAGAATTTTGATTCGGAATTATAAAAGAAATTAGAAATTTGATTCGGAATTATAAAAGAAATTAGAATTTTGATTCGGAATTATAAAAGAAATTAGAATTTTGATTCGGAATTATAAAAGAAATTAGAATTTTGATTCGGAATTATAAAAGAAATTAGAAATTTGATTCGGAATTATAAAAGAAATTAGAATTTTGATTCGGAATTATAAAAGAAATTAGAATTTTGATTCGGAATTATAAAAGAAATTAGAATTTTGATTCGGAATTATAGTATATTGTGATTCTCACCTGGTTGAGGGGAGCGTCGGAGTTCATCATTCTTTCGGTGACGGGGAGACGCCGGCGGGGACGGCGCCCCCGGAGGGAACGGCGCCCCCGGGGGGGACGGCGCCCCCGGGGAGCTGGGGTAGGTGATTGATGGGGAGTGGCAGCTGGTGTCCTGGACCAGGTGATGGACGAGGCGGTGTCCGGCCGAACCTCCAAGCACATCCCCTAACAGATCACGAATCAGAAAGGACTTGTTGCCACTCATTTTGTGCGTGTATGTAGTGTGTGTGTGTGTGTGTGTGTGTGTGTGTGTGTGTGTGTGTGTGTGTGTGTGTGTGTGTGTGTGTGTGTGTGTGTGTGTGTGTGTGCGTGTGTGTGTGTCAGTCACTACACCAGCAGGAGACCAGCACCACCAGCTCGGAGCATCTCAAGTCCTTCACACAAAGTCTACTTCGACACACACGGCCAAAAAAGTCTAATTAGCCAAGTCTCAACTCACACACATGGTTCCCCTGGCTCACAGAAGCACACTAGGACCTCTCTATGAAGGATTACAGCTCATCCTGGGCAACTGACTACGGCACATGTTTAAACCGTGGCGCTTGGCACTCTCAGTGGCTGATTTCGGCACTTTCTTAAGCTGCAGACAGCTCTTAGTGCCTAATTTGGAAGGCGAAATGGTTGGTATGACCAAGTGATCTATGGTAAATCTCCCTGGGTACCGTGGTACTCCTCCTGTGTATTGTGGTGGAACACGTAAACTTAGGTACTCTTGACCACGTGGTTAGACCCTTCTAGAGTCCTTTGGAGAAACACGTGACCTCCCTAGGTCCTGTGATAGAGTCTTTTCTACACAACTCTTTCGTCCAGTACGGATATCGTTGCGCCTAACGCCTCTCCCGCCTAATAGGTCTTCAGTAGGGATCTTCAGTAGTGACAAGACCCTGCGTAAACCTGCAGCTCCAGGTCTGAGGGCTGGTGGAGGCGGCAGAGACGTGCTGTGTCGCTGGAGGTAGGGCGAGGTGTGTCACAGCCTTGTTTACACATCCCAATATCAATCTTAGCGTCAAATGTCGACGATAACACCAACAATTCAATGTATATTACCGCAAATCTTCTCTTTTCAGCAGCGGTGGCCGGTGATTGGTGGGCCTCGGGTGCCGGCGCGCTCTCATTGGCTCAACCAAAGTGGTGACGTAAGAGACCAAAAGATTTTGATGCGGGTGCGTAAACACTTAATTTCTATTCAAATTGTGAGCAAATTGGCGCAGAAAATGATGCCATTAGGCAAGTGCCTCCCCTCGGATATCCTTCCTCGCAGTTTGTGACAAGATTTTCATTGTATTTCATAAGCGGTTTCAATATTTAGAATCTTATATCTGTTGAAATGCGCTCTACAACGTCCCCCAAAACAACCTATAACATATGGATTTATTGTGCTATGCTATTTGAATAATCTATAGCTGCATTTGCAACAAAACTCTCTAGTTAGACTCTTAATTCTACCAAGAGAGAGATTTAAGTTTCAAAACACAGTAAAACTGAACGATATATATGAATCTGTTTGGCAACGCCTCCGGGCGGCTAGCAGTCAGCAACTCAGGCGCTGATTGGTGGCGCCCAGAATCAATGGCGCGCTGTGATTGGTCCTACACTAACCCGAATGCTGTTGCCATATAAGTGTCGAAGAAGCCTCAGTGTTTTCATTCAATATGCCACACAAACTCAAATTTTATAGAGTGGGATCCGGGCTGATCACGCTATAATTGGAGGCTCGGAGGGCGGTCGCGCCGCGTAATTGTGCGTCTTTGAACGGAAAATTGTGAATGGCGGCTAACGAGAGCTGTTTATTACACCGGAGAGCCACGAGCTCTGTGATTTATTCCTCATTACATCACTTGAGCGGAAGGATTTCTTTATCTAGCGAGACCCGCTAAACACACGCTGGCGGCCACGCGCTGATAGCTGCTTCCGTGTAATTAAACGTCTACTAATGAACCACTTATCACGCTATCATTACTGCCTGCCGCTGCTCCCCCGCCAAACGACTCTCACTTGGGGGATGGGAAGGGGGTGTGTCGGCAGGGGAAGGGAAGGGATAGAAGGACGAGGGGAGGTGGGAAGGGGCTGCTCCCACAGACTAACACAGAGACAGACAGACTCCTGCAGACAGAGAGACAGACTCCCACAGACACAGAGAGACAGACTCCCACAGACAGACCGACTGCCACAGACAGAGAGACAGACTCCCACAGACAGACCGACTGCCACAGACAGAGAGACAGACTCCCACAGACACAGAGAGACAGACTCCCACAGACAGACCGACTGCCACAGACAGAGAGACAGACTCCCACAGACAGACCGACTGCCACAGACACAGAGAGACAGACTCCCACAGACAGAGAGACAGACTACCACAGACAGAGAGACAGACTCCCACAGACAGAGAGACAGACTCCCACAGACAGACCGACTGCCACAGACAGACCGACTGCCACAGACAGAGAGACAGACTCCCACAGACAGAGAGACAGACTCCCACAGACAGACCGACTGCCACAGACAGACCGACTGCCACAGACAGAGAGACAGACTCCCACAGACAGACAGACTCCCACAGACAGAGAAACAGACTCCCACAGACAGAGAGACAGACTCCCACAGACAGAGAGACAGACTCCCACAGACAGAGAGACAGACTCCCACAGACAGACCGACTGCCACAGACAGACCGACTGCCACAGACAGAGAGACAGACTCCCACAGACAGACAGACTCCCACAGACAGAGAAACAGACTCCCACAGACAGAGAGACAGACTCCCACAGACAGAGAGACAGACTCCCACACAGAGAGACAGACTCCCACACAGAGAGACAGACTCCCACACAGAGAGACAGACTCCCACAGACAGAGAAACAGACTCCCACAGACAGAGAGACAGACTCCCACAGCCCTCCACAGAGACAACTATCACATCATACTGTAAATATGAGGACATGGCATCTTATGCCCGATAAGAATTACACACATCCACTCTTTATTCCCCAAGCATCTACGCGTCCCATTTACGAAACCAGTACATCTTTCCTCAGCCATGGCTTACTTGCCATCGCCAAGCCAACAGCTTCAACAGACTCTTGTCAGAGTGATAGTTGCAAAGACGCGCTAATCAAAGTCTGCAACTGAACCTTTCAACTTAATTTCCTTCATCAAAGTAATTTTGTTGCTGGGTAGAGAGAGAGAGAGAGAGGGAGAGGGAGAGGGAGAGAGAGAGAGAGAGAGAGAGAGAGAGAGGGAGAGGGAGAGAGAGAGAGAGAGAGAGAGAGAGAGAGAGAGAGAGAGAGAGAGAGAGAGAGAGAGAGAGAGAGAGAGAGAGAGAGAGAGAGAGAGAGTGAGAGAGAGAGAAAGAGCTAGTAGATATAACAGAGGAAAAAAGAGATCGGGAATCACTACATTAAACCGACACGATTTGAAAGGCGGGGCCCAAGAGCTAACAGCTAAATCCTGCAAGCACAAATCCACACACACGCATGCATGCACTCGGGTCATCCTCACCTGGAAGATCCACCAAGAACAGGTCATATTGACATAAGAAAACCTCCACTAACAAGGTCCTTCGGCCGCTCCTCTCAACCCCCGGTAATTACCTATCGGTAACTACTTCTTTACCGGTCATAATTGAACCCTTGTTCTGATGGCTGGGGGCGACACCCCCCTCTCCTGGTATCCTTGCTTTGTTGTGTGTTGCTATATGGGTCATTGTGTTGCTATATGGGTCCTTGTGTTGCTATATGGGTCCTTGTGTTGCTATATGGGTCCTAGTGTTGCTATATGGGTCCTAGTGTTGCTATATGGGTCCTAGTGTTGCTATATGGGTCCTTGTGTTGCTATATGGGTCCTTGTGTTGCTATATGGGTCCTAGTGTTGCTATATGGGTCCTTGTGTTGCTATATGGGTCCTAGTGTTGCTATATGGGTCCTTGTGTTGCTATATGGGTCCTTGTGTTGCTATATGGGTCCTAGTGTTGCTATATGGGTCCTTGTGTTGCTATATGGGTCCTAGTGTTGCTATATGGGTCCTTGTGTTGCTATATGGGTCCTAGTGTTGCTATATGGGTCCTTGTGTTGCTATATGGGTCCTAGTGTTGCTATATGGGTCCTTGTGTTGCTATATGAGTCCTTGTGTTGATAGTGTTGTTCTAAGGGTCTCTGTTGCACTGGGGCTTTTCCATAGGTGCTTGAGTTGCGCATTACACTTAAGTTGCGGGTTGTCTACGTTAGTAATGCATTGTTTGCAATACCTTCGGTCTGTGAATAAACTCTACGGTCTCGCTGTACCACATTTCACTACAGTAATCAGTCGTTTTTACTCAATAGGTTTTAAGCGGGAAAATATATATATTTTTTAAATAAAGAAGTGAGATTGTCATCCAGTTAAGTAAGATCTTCTTCCAGTTAAGAAGTTAAGGGGTTCTTAACCTCTTTAAGCGGTTAAGGAAAGGTTCCTTATATTCTCTTATTTATCAGCTTCCAGTCTAGTTTTGATTGTGCCAAATACCAGATTGGGCACAATCAGATTGGGCACAATCACCATCGCGTTAATGGTTGGCATGGGGCGAAGGGTCATTGTTGTTGGGTGACTGTCCACCATTAGCCACCCAACGACCAGGTCATTGTCCGCTAACTACCGCTCGTTCGGGTCTAATGGTCGTCTGAAGGAGCAGTCTCTCCTCTCACTACCCCGCGATGGGTCGGATATGTTAAAGTCACCTACACACGTACATACCACCAATAAACACGTACATATCACCAATAAACACGGACATACGACCAATAAACACGGACATACGACCAATAAACACGTACATATCACCAATAAACACGGACATATCACCAATAAACACGGACATATCACCAATAAACACGGACATACGACCAATAAACACGTACATATCACCAATAAACACGGACATACGACCAATAAACACGTACATACGACCAATAAACACGGACATACGACCAATAAACACGTACATACGACCAATAAACACGGACATACCACCAATAAACACGTACATACGACCAATAAACACGGACATACCACCAATAAACACGGACATACCACCAATAAACACGTACATACGATCGAGAATCACGTACACGTGATGATGCACGGGATATATAGCGATCAATATGGCCTTGACAATGTTGTTTACAAACAAACATTTAGGCGGGAATTGGCAAGTCATTCTCCGTTGCCTAAACTTGTTTGCGAGCGCTGATTAGTTCATCTGGCAGCCAATTGGAACGACGTATTTGTTTATGATGTAAAATAAATGATTTCCTCAAATGCAAATGTTATTGTTTACTGTTGAGAGAGGCATAGTTAATCCTAAGTACGGTTGGTCAGGGGGGCCAGATTCACGAAGCAGTTACGCAAGCACTTACGAGCCTGTCCATCTTTTCTCAATCTTTGGCGGCTTTGTTTACAATTATTTAACAGTTAACGAGCTCCGAAGCACCAGGAGGCTGTTTATAACAATAACAACAGTTGATTGGCAAGTTGTCATGCTTATAAACTGTTTAATAAATGTAAACAAAGCCATCAAAGACTGAGGAAAGATGTACACGTTCGTAAGTACTTGCGTAACTGCTTCGTGAATCCGGGTCCAGGTATTTTGAGCTACAAAATAGTGTTGACAGTGCAGCTTTTGTAGTGTGTGCACAATTACCTAAGTGTAGCTATAGGGTTGAGAGCTACGCTCCTGGGGCCAGATTCACGAAGCAGTTACGCAAGCACTTACGAACGTGTACATCTTTCCTCAATCTTTGACGGCTTTGGTTACATTTATTAAACAGTTTACAAGCATGAAAACTTGCCAATCAACTGTTGTTATTGTTATAAACAGCCTCCTGGTGCTTCGGAGCTCATTAACTGTTTAATAATTGGAAACAAAGTCGCCAAAGATTGAGAAAAGATGTACAGGTTCGTAAGTGCTTGCGTAAGTGCTTTCGTGAATCTGAGTCCTGGTATCCCGTCTTCCCAGTACTCTTTGTCGTATAGCGCTGTGAGAGTACGCGAAGTGTGTGCGTGTGCGTGCGTGCTGGGGTAATCAAGACACCAGTAATTACCTGAGGTAATTTGATTATCCTACCCACCCAGACTGTTGTTGGTGATACTGGCTGGTCGATTACACCCCCTCAGGGTGAAGGAGGGAGGGAAGGAGGGCTGTTCTGATGGAGGGGGACTGGAACAGAGGGAGACAGAGAGGGAGGGAGGGCTATTCTGATGGAGGGGGACTGGAACAGAGGGAGACAGAGAGGGAGGGAGGGCTATTCTGATGGAGGGGGACTGGAACAGAGGGAGACAGAGAGGGAGGGAGGGCTATTCTGATGGAGGGGGACTGGAACAGAGGGAGACAGAGAGGGAGGGAGGGCTGTTCTGATGGAGGGGGACTGGAACAGAGGGAGACAGAGAGGGAGGGAGGGCTGTTCTGATGGAGGGGGACTGGAACAGAGAGAGACAGAGAGGGAGGGAGGGAAGGTATGTGAAGGAGCAGCAGAGTAACGGCTGGGATAGAGAGGTGTAATATATTCCTTCTCGCTACCCACTTCTCTGGCACATCAAAAGGGGCATAACCAAGCAACCAAAGCTAAGGAGCAACCCGACCTGCTACTTAACCACACTAAGAGGAAGATGTCTGTGTAAGACCACGTGGTAAGGCTTGACTAAGAGGGACTAATGTTTAATGAAACATGTGTTTAATGAAATTAATGTTTCATTAGTTTACTGAAGTTTCATTAATTTTCATAGGCTATAAATAGGATATTAATAGGAACGTCCTCGTATAGGGTAATAAGCCGTCTACAGGTTCCTTAATTCTTGTGTTCTATTAACATACAACACGAAACAATGGATTGAAATGAGATCAGTTTAGGTTTAGAGAAGACCTGGGTAAATACTGGTTCAGGAACAGGGTTGGGTATTGATGGAACAAATTACCGGATAACATAATGGGTGGTACAGCAGAGCCCATCACACACCTGTGGTGCAGGTGTGTACACATGGAGATGGTAGCCATTGTTGGAGAGAGGCGGAACCCCAGACTGGCACACGCAACTCGTATTCCAAGTGTGTGTTTGTTTGTGTGAGGGAGGACGGCCATGTTGCTGGTGTGGGGATGTTTCTC